TTTTACTAATTTCTATCTCAGAATTTGTTTTTCCCCCGAAAGCTGCGCTTAAAATATATCTCGCCTCAACAGAAGTGTGTGTTACATTAGGCTTATATTAATTAATTTCGGCAGCCTTTCTTTCTCACTATCTTCCTTCGATGATGCAATAACACAATATTAGCATTTATTTGAAGATACATGGTAAAACACGCGGACCTATTCAACAAATGCCGGAAAGATCTGCTGCGACTGTTTTCCGAAATTGCTTCGGCCGAAGGAATGAGCAGTCATCTGGTATTTCAATGTATTTCAAAGCTTGCATTCAACGAAGAAAAAAATTTTGAAAATTTCAGCTCACTCATTCAAAAATCTTGTTTTTAAAACTTTTCTGTGTGTGAATACAAAATGTGCGCAAGTTTCAGCCAATCTTAAGTTCAGAAGGTCTCGAACAAATTGCCGCGCTCATGCCACGGACGTACTCCGATCTGCAGCAAATTGATGGTATGACAGCACGCAAGGTAGAGCGTTATGGAGAGAAAATTATGGGCTTACTGAAGGAATACTGGAAAGAACTTGATGGTGGGTTTTTTTCTTTTTCTAAAATTAGTGATCATGATGCGGTTGTGCGCCGAACATGAATATTCCGCCCTTCTGCCTTCTAATGAACCATTTGGTCTTGAGAACTTCTACACGATCAACCCCTCCGCCCCAGGACATTTTTTGATGTTCACAGCGGGGTGCTATGGGACGCTCACTCGGTAGCTCAAAAAACCGATTGCGAATTATATGTACCAGCATGTGCTAAGTAGTCAAAACTGTTATCAATTTGTAAAACTCCGAAGAAAGAGATGAGTGGTTGGTGCTAGGACATGCCGTTTATCGGACGACTTTCGAATGCCTCCGCTTCTTATAGGAAGTAAACTATGGGAAAGTTCTTTAACTTGTCAATGAAAATCAGATTACCATTTTTTGTTTCTTAGACGTAGCTGGTTAATTAGAATGCATCAAAGAGTGTTGTCTTTTGTCAAGCCTTTTTCATGATGATTTTTTTGTAAAATTACTGCAAAAAGCTAGAAAGATAGACAAGCCTTGGATGCAGCGGAGTTCTTACGCTGTCTGTGTTTACAGCTAAGACAGATCAACCTAAATATTCCATATACATGACTATTCAACATGTCTTAAGGTCTGTACCACATTAACAACCCAACTACTTTCCATATCACAACTCACTAGCAAGTTCCACTTCCTATCCTTAAAACTATAAGAATTCAGCCGTTCTGAATTTTCTTTTTTATGCGTTTTTTGCTGTGTAACAGCAGTACAAAACTCATATTGTCACGGGGTTGTCTGTGTGTGTGTGTGTGTCCGCAGCAACTTGTCTGCAACTTTCAACTCGGGAACCACAAAAGCTAGG